AGAGAGAGAGAGAGAGAGAGAGAGAGAGAGAGAGAGAGAGAGAGAGAGAGAGAGAGAGAGAGAGAGAGTAAAAGAAAGGGCTTTGTGTCGGTTTACTACCCTTGCAAACGGGCATGCCACCCCCTATCCCCTATCCAATCAAAAGAGTGCCGTGGGGGTGGTCTGGTCTCCAAGATATGGTCTGACTGTGACGATCACCGCAACGACATAACCAAGCATGCAAAGCTTTTCCATTGTTGCTGCCCAACGAAGCCGGATTGTGTACACGAAATGGTGCAAGCGGGCAGCAGGACTGGAATATATGTATATATGTATGGACACAAAGTGGTGAGAAAAAAAACTGAACAGGGACTGGGTGGTGGTCACTGATAGACAGCAGGACTGGATGTCGGACACAGCATGAATAGCATGGATAGGGCGGGGCGTTCAAAGGGGCAAGGGAGAGGGTGAGTGGTAGGTTCATCCTACCTGGACAGCATGGACTGCTTTCCCTACGCTACCGAATTTCACTAGTATGATGACCTTGGGCCACGTGAGCTGACCCACGATTCCCGTGGCCACAAGTCCATTTGCAATTTGGAAGTTGATGACAGCACTCGCGGTGATTGGCCCGAAGATCCCGTCGACAGCAAGTACGTAGCCGCGTGCCTGGAAGTAAATAGAAAATTTTCGGAAGGAAAAAAAAAAACGAGAAGTTATTTGAGCAACGCAGCCAAAATTTCGCCCCCCCCCCCCAAAAAAAAAGGGTTCTTTGAACAACGCAGCACAAAACAGGAAATACGGACAAGTATGTAAAAAAAAAAAACAAGAAAAGCAAAAGAAAAAACGGAAAAAAAAACAACAAGAAAAGAAAAATAAGAAAAAAACAATGAGGAACACATGTTAAAAAAAAAGAAAAGAAATTGAAAAAAGGAAAGAGGAACGCATATGTTTTTAATGTTGTGCGTTGCAGTACAGATAAAAAATCCATTCCCAACCCATTCCCAACCCATTCCCAACCCATTCCCAACCCTTTCCCATTGAAGCGCTGCAGGTGTACCATTACCATTAGTACCATTACCATTCAAATTGAATGAATGTGCTTTGGAGTTGGAATTAGCTTTTTTTTTGAATTG